ACACAGAATTGGGAGAATATTAAAATTGAAGACTTGAAACTTGCAAGTGGCGAGACTGTTGCTGTGAACTGTCTTTTTCGTCTTAAGAACCTATTGGATGAGACGGTGGTTGTGGACAGTCCAAGGGATGCAGTTCTGAGCTTAATTAGAAAGATGAATCCAGATATCTTTGTGCAAGCTGTAGTCAATGGATCTTACAGTGCACCCTTCTTTGTCACTCGCTTCAGGGAGGCCCTCTTCCACTACTCAACTCTCTTTGACATGTTTGATGCTACTTTACCCCGTGATGATCAGCAGAGGTTGCATTTTGAACAAGAATTTTATAGGCGCGAGGCAATGAATGTAATTGCTTGTGAAGGGTCCGAGAGGGTTGAGAGGCCTGAGACATATAAGCAATGGCAGGTCCGCTATATGAGGGCTGGATTCAAGCTACTTCCCTTAAACCAACAACTCATGCAGAAGTTAAGGTGCAAGGTAAAGGGGGGATACCACCGAGATTTTGTGTTTGATGAGGATGGTAATTGGATGTTACAGGGTTGGAAAGGCCGGGTAGTATGTGCTAGCTCGTGTTGGGTGCCAGCATAGAAGTATCTGGAACTTGTTTGTTGTCAAACTGGGAATCCTGAGGTCTCCAGAAAATATCACAGGAGGACTGCATTCATGCATGAGATTGCACTTCTGTATGCAGCTGCTTGGGTGGTGGCACAATTTTCGTTTTAGTTCATAGGATGCTGTTATGTAGCCAAAACCGACGTGTTATCTAGCTATTCTGTACATAATGTTGTTCCTAGAAAGGATTGGTCTTTGCTAATCTTGATTAAGCTTAGTATGGTGAAACACATATGATTTGGCTTGTCTGGTCTCCTTGTGATCGTTCTGTGTACAATTGGCTAACTAGTGGTAGTTGTTATCTATCTACGTTCTCTAAATTAGCCTAATGAGTTGAGTTGTTGTCTATCAGTTCAATTTTATGTATCAAGGAGAATTTTGAAACCCATTATGTTGCAACTTTCTTTCCCTTTCCAGTTCAGTTTTTTGGTTTAACAAAAATGTGTAACAAGTTTCTAGGATAAGTTGCATCTTTTGTCTTGACAAAGATAATCTTGTGGTGACTATGGTAGTTGCATAATTTCTCATATCTTTTCTTTTTTGCCCTTGCTTTTGAAAGGGAAAAAATGTTGACCAAATTAACTTTTAAATTTGTCTTTTACCTTCAATTTTATGAATTTCATGTTGTTAAGCCACTTTTCATTAAGTTGATAGATAAAGCGTAATATTTGAAGCAATTCTCCCTCCTTTTTGTTGTTCTTTCTCATATATTTGGCATTGGTTCTCTCTGGTTTTCCTTATTATCAGCCTGATAATATCAGGTAAATATTCTTATGATAATAGAACTTTTTGGTGAACTGAAAGAAAATAATCTGTTCTACCATTGTTCTATTTAACTAAGGAAAAATCACTAAATTAAATAAACGGAAAAGGGCCTAAAATGCCTTTTTACTATATGAAATAGGACAGACAGTGGCGGAGGCAAGATCTCTACGAAGGGGGTTCAAAAAATAATTTTTGGATCTAGTGGGAATTGAACTCATGACCTTATGTAGATTTTGAACCCCCTTGCCACTAAACTACACTTTTGGATTGTGTTAAAATGGTTCAATACTTAATATATAGAGGTAAAAAACAGATTTTGCCTTGTATATACAGTGTATTTTTTCGGCGAAGAGGGTTCGGGTGAACCCCCTTGCGCCCCCTAAATCCGCCCCTGAGGACAGGCTAGCCCTCCGTTAAAAGTTGGCCTCTATTCTGCCCTTGCCGTCAACAAATGGGCTCATATATGCCCTCCATCACTAACGGAAGACTCATAAAGCCACGTGGAATATATGTGAGAGCAAGTTAGACCTAGTTCGAATTGTACAGGGGCATATATGAGTCAGCTATAATAGCCATTTCTCAAACACTTCACAACTCCATATCAGTTTACTTAGACACTTATTTGACAACATCAAACTAATTATCATAGCAAATAAACTCAGTCATAGATACAACAAATGAACGGCAATGACTTTATTAAATCCTTGTATAAAAACATAAAGCTTCATTACATAATAAAAGACAACAGTTAAGCCACAATAACACTAACATTACAAATCATTTCGCACTGATCCAAAGAACATAACAAGACATCCCAATATCACACACATGAAAATCCACATGTTCTTCCGAAATTTAGCATCAAGCACAGCTGAGTACTCTAAATCAGTCACTTTCTTCATTAGAACATTTCTTTCCAATTCCAAGGCTTCTATTCCTCCATGATCGACGAGCATCATAACATTCTCAAGATCAAATTTTCCTTTGGAGAGCATTTCTTTCACGAATTAGAGCTTCCTTTCCTTCTTTAAACTGCATATGAGATTTGAAACTCTAGGAGGAAGCTCTTCATCTTGCCATTCCCAATAGGAATATTTTTCATCCTAAAAACCAAAAATAAATAAAACAATTTACAAGCAAATCGGAATAATTAAAAGAACCCATCAAAAAATTTACTTACCTCATGCTTCGGGCACTTGAAAAACCTTCTCCTAGCATTTAAAGATGCCCATGCCATGAAATAATTGGCAGTAAGTCCGTAATGACACCTCCTATTCGACCCATTTGAGCTACTATAACATTCCGACATTGTCTTTTGTTATGACTCGACCCCTTTGAGTTAATAGGATTTAATGAAGCCATTGCCGTTCATTTGAATGTTTGTGTCTATGACTTAGTTTATTTGCTGTGATAATTAGTTTGGTATTGTCAAATAGGTGTCTAAGTAAACTGATATGGAGTTGTGAAGTGTTTGAGAAATGACTATTATAACTGACTCATATATGCCCCTGTACAATTCGAACTAGGTCTAACTTGCCCTCACATATATTCCACGTGGCTTTATGAGTCTTCCTTTAGTGATGGAGGATATATACGAGCCCATTTGTTGACGGCAAGGACAAAATAGAGACCAACTTTTAACGAAGACCTAGCCTGTCCAATTTCATATAGTAAAGGGGCATTTTAGGCCCTTTTCCGTTAAATAAATCCGAACCTACTAGAAAAACTAAAGAAGACATCTCAAAGACATGTTACCACATGCTTAAAAGATAAAAAATTAAAAAAAGAAAGATAATGTCAGTAGAAAAGATATCATTAATTATGAGACAAGTTTTATCCGATATTTGTCCTGCGCTATCTTTAAGAAAATAGGAATCTTGATTTCATTTAAACTGTATTTTAACCTTTTATTTAATTCTTTTTATTAAGAGCATAAATAAGGATAGGAGGTACAAGCTTGATTCGTTTTCTTGTGCCAAGCAAGTGCAAATATTTATGGTAGTTACTGGTTAGATTTGAATCCAGAATATTTATCTACTCTCATACCTTGCTCATGGAATTGTGTAAACCATTACATTTAAAAGTTTAACTACTAAAGCGAAAACACTTTTTTTATATTCACAACTAAAATGATAAACTATTAAATGGTTTCAATATCTTAATTCAAAATCACTAATAACACTATTTGGAATTATAAAGCCTCAAATAGAAATCAGAAGATTTAGCTGTTAACGAGCCTGGTCCATAAAATGATTATTGCTTACTTGTACAGTTTAATTTGTCAATTTAGTTTGGACTAAACTTCATTGAGATCTGTGATTTGACGTTTGGTTTGGAATACATATTTGCCTTTTGGTTTAATATTTGACTTATTACAGTATAATGTCTTCTTACATCGTATGCCGCCTTTTTGTTTTGCGTTTGTCATTTTCTCGACGCTTTTACTATATTAGACGGTCCAATTGATAAAGCAATTTTAAGTGATTACATCCCAAAAATAGATGTCCATAATTGTATAGCCCAGCTGATCCATCAAGATCTAAGTTTAATTGCGTCTTTGTCATCTGTATCTGAGGGAAATTTCCTTGAGTAAGGGTAACAAAAAATTTCAATAGAAACAGCAAACAGTCATCTAATTATTATTTAAGATGAGAAAAATGAAAAAGGAATCACTAATAAATTTAGTTTTTTTTAGTATTTGGTCACTTTGAATAGTTAATTTTCTTTTTCAAAGTAAATATGCTTCACCAATATCAAAGTGACAGGTGTAACAAGTGGCGTTGTGTTTTGAAGATATTATCGTTCAAATTGGGATTTCTTGATTGATGAACCGTTCCTTAGCACATTTGTCATTCAAAAGAATTTAAGTTGGATGAAACCGTTTAAATATAAATTTCGTTAGTTATAGCGTGTTACTTTTTCATGCTGCAACATTTACTGCAGTTTTTTAATTAATCTATATTATATTAAAAGCATGAAGCTTAGTCAAAAGTTAAATTATTAAAATACTCCTTTAATTAACTTAAATACCCTATTAATTAAAATTTAAAAATAATTAACGGCAAATAACCTTAGTACCCCTCGTGAAGGATCACAAGCCACAATTATTAGATGCATAACCCCTTTTAAATGCAAGTTAAAAAGTTTATATCCATAATATCATCAAGCTTCTGTAATCATATTTCTAGAGGGATGCTTTCTTCGTTTGTGTCTATTGATGTACACAAGTGAACATATTGAGCAAGCATAGCGATAATTTTTTTAGAACTAAAATTTCATGTCTAGCACTTCTTCTTCATCTTGTTTCCAATATAAAGGTAACAAGTCAAACGACATGGCAATTGTATGTCTCTAACAATATTGATTTTTATCTTTCCATAGATTTCTATTCACATCTTTCTACTTTTTGTTTTTTAAAAAATTTATAAATCAGACAGTTCAAAAGAATTAATTACAAAATATAAATTAAGCGGCAAAATAAGTTATTCGCCTTTTAATTATGATGCAATAGAAAGTATTAATATATGGTCAAGGTGAGCAGTGATTCAATAAGAAATATTATGCTGGAGTCGATTGGAAAGAATTAAAATTTATGTGAATAAATAATTAACATAAACAACTTATGTGTTGTATCTATAATTAACCCCAAACCCCATTGTACTTACCGCTATAGAAAAAACATATTTACATGCTTACTACACAGTTGTGTTTAGTGTGGTAGAACCCAATTACGGCAATGAATATGAGGAGAATATCCTTCACTCGAAAAGAATTTCATATTTGTACTTCTTTGGTCGCATTATAATTGTAAATTTTATTCTTGTATCTCTAATTTTTCTAAAGTTAACAAAGAACTTTATCGGGCGTCATAACTCTTTATTTGTATCTTTGTTGTGTATAAAAATGCTTTAAGTTTCTTCCTATTTGTAACGACTAATTTCCCTTCTAATGACAACTATGTAAAGTTTAGGTACAAAATATGATTTGATCGCATCACACCTAATACTTTCGTCTAGGCTACGTTTTGGGGTATGTTGCATTCTAATCAGGTTTTGATTGCTCTAAATTCTACTTCTACTTTCTTTAATTTTTTATAACTTAGCCAAATATTTTAGTACGTAGTATTAATGTAATTTTGAAAATTTTGTATTATATATTGATAAGCACAATGTGCATGCCGGAGATGTTGAGTATTCATATTTTTCTTGTTGAGATAAACATATGCAGCTAATTACTATAAAGACATCTTCAAATACATGCCTTATTTATTGTACTCTCAAAATAAAGATATAACAATAAAGTCCATTGTATAGATATGTTTGTGCATATGTTACTTTATTTTTCAAAAAATATTTATATTTTCTTTTATATTGAAAAAAATAGAATGTGGAATGGTATTATAAAGGGTGAAATTGCATGACTCAAATAATAAAAGATGTATCATTTGAAATAATAAGATAGAAGAAGCGGAATTTAAATTGGTTACTTAAGACTTTAATACAAAAATGGAGATATATTTATTGCCATAACTTATGGATTGAATTTTTTTGTTTTATTACATTTTTAGCAGTATTAGGTCGTATTATTGAAGGGGAGCCTTAGCGTAACTGATAAAGTTGTT